GCCCCTAATTAAATAATTGATAACCAATTTGCCCCTCCCCCAGAACTATCCACCATCCTGCCCCCATTTAGTCGATTATGTTGCACTTTTAATCGACTAAATGGGCTAAACTCAGAAATTATGAAACGCGAATTTTAGTCGACTAAAAACTCATCTTAATCGACTAAATTGTTTGCACTTTTAGTCGACTAAGCACATTATTTAGTCGACTAAAGATCGCGAAAAACCCTACAATCAATCTCCGTGTCCGTGTTTTTGATAGAGACTTGCAGTTGTTTGAAGTTGAGGATGCCTACAATCAATCTACGCATGATGCCGGCGACATTATGAGGGTTGACTTGCTAAATCGTAAATGTCAATGTGGACGGTTCACAGCTAGACGATTTTCTTGCAGTCATGTGCTAGCGGTGTGCAAGGTTGAAAAATTGAACCACTATGACTATGTCGATCCTGTGTTCTCAATTACACAAATTGAGAAGGTCTATGCTGCACATTGGTTTCCAATGGGTAATGAGTTGTTGATCCCAGAAATAGATGGTTCAACATTAATCCCAAATGCATCTTTGGTTCGTGCACAAGGAAGACCGAAGTCTTCAAGGATACAGAATGAAATGGATTGGGTTGAGTCCCAACCCACAAGCAGTCAAACTAGATGCAGCACCTGCAAGCAAATTGGTCACAATAAACGTACATGTCCTATGAGGATTAATCCTAGCTGAAGCAATGTTGTGCATGTATTTAAGGTCTTTTGTAAGAGTTCATGTATTTTTTGTAAGACATTGTGATGTTACTTTGTGTTACTGTTTAAGTAATTATGTAATTTGACATTTCATTTCTAAGTCCATTATCTAACATTGGTCCATATTGATAGATTGAAACTCATAACTAATACTAGTATTACCAAAAAATGAAATCACCAAGTTTCGGGGAGCGTAAACAAACGGTTTGGGGTAATACGTACCCAATCGCATACGAATCCTGTACAATACTATTTTGTACCTGAAAGTGTGTTCCCCAAGTCATTATATGCGTGTACTTTGATATTCGATCGGTTCCGTGCCAAAAAAAATCGTGCAAAACAGAATGGGGTGTCAAAACCAGTTATTTAGTCGAGCAACCCGTACTGGTTTAGTCGACTACACAGTTTAGTCGACTAAACCAGTACGGGTTGCTCGACTAAATAACTGGTTTTGACACCCCATTCTGTTTTGCACGATTTTTTTTGGCACGGAACCGATCGAATATCAATGTACACGCATATAATGACTTGGGGAACACACTTTCAGGTACAAAATAGTATTGTACAGGTTATAAACCACGAACGTGCATGTACTGCAAAAATCCAATAATTAAGGGTATCCGAAACTTGTGTTCTTATTTTAACTCTGTTAAGGTCACCTGTTCTGAATTTCATTGGACAGTTTAGACCCGTTGGACTGTGATTAGACACAAATTGAAAACATGAAGGTAAAAGATATTTGTCATTTAATAGGTAAACAAGAAAACAACAATAATTACGTAAACGGTTCACAACATGATGGGAACATCAAATAGTTCATTTCATAACCATAATATTACATAAGCTACAAATGTAAAATAGGAAGACCGAAGTCAATTACATTACAACATACACTAGAAACGTAAAATAGAAACATAAACCCTAAATCTAATCCTCATCCTCCTCGGATGCCGTCTCCTCGTCATCCTCATCTGACACATCAGCCCCCTGCCCTGCAACATCCTCAATCTGCTGTCCTCGTCCAAGCTCTAGACGAGCAAGCCTATCTTCAACACCCTTGAACCGTCCCTGTATATGTCTAAATCTTTCATTTCCCTTCTGCACGTGACTCTTCCTCCATTTTTTGTGTTTCAGCGCCATTTTTCCTATTTTCTTCAGCGTGGCGTTTATGCCCTTCATGACATCACGTAATGAAAACCCACCCTCAGGCTCAGCTATCTCCTGCTGGTCACCCTCATCATCATCGTCATCATCATCCTCCACCTCGGGGTCAACCATGTCTACAACTGGAGCAACATCAGGAACCTCAACATCAGCCGCACCTGTGAACTGCCACACTCCTGTTTGGGGGTTCTTTGTCATCTTGCACTGCTCCAGTAGACGTTTTCCAAACTTATGATTATACCCTGTGGTCTTCTTCAAGGTCACATTACCCATGGGAACATCAAAATGCTCCAATATCCTCTGAACAAGACAAGCAAATGGAAGTGCACCCTTGTGTTTGGCCTTATACATCATCCAACACACGTAGTGCCTCCAGTTCACCGAAGTACCATGTCGGATAGCCCACATGATGGGAATGTCATGCTCCAACACCCTGGAATGATTGAACGCTCGCGGAAACAAAATGTGGGTGATGACATAGTGTAGTATGCGGGACTCCACAGTAAGCAACCCCACCGTATAGGCAATGTGTTGCCCACGGACTCTCCTCTGCTCCTGCACGGCATCACCGCGTGTATATCCTGGAAGTATGGTCCCGCTGTCTGCGTCATATTCCACAGTCTGCGCAGAATCAAAGTCATACCCCAGTAACTCCAACCATACCGGAGCCGTCATGATGATGTCCACCCCGCAGACCCTAGACCTCAGCTCACCGTGATGGTAGCTGAGATTATGGTAGAAGGCCCATACATGCAGCTCAGAATATGAACACGACAGTTCAGCCAAGGTCCTAAGATGTGATTCCTCCAACCACCTCACAATGTTAAAACCTTCTTGTTCAAAAAAGGCTGTATCAAGTGATTTGGCCCCACAAATCGGTCGGTTAACAAAGTCACGGACAAAAGATTCATGAACCACCGGGTCATTCTCGAACAAGTATCCGAATGGGAGGTCCACAGCAGCGGGGTCTTCCTCTTGTGGCCTTGACGAAGACGGATGGTCTTGTCGTAGCTTTTGTCGTCTCTCATTTCCAGTGCTAGACGATCTTCTACGGCCAGCCATGGGAACAACTGTACCTACAATGCAAGTGGAAACAAAAATCAATGAACAATAACAATATCAAAAAATTTAAAATTCAATATAAAAAACAAAACCTAATCCTAAAATAAAACAGAAATCAGAAACCCAATCCCTAACCCTAAAACAGAAACAGAAACCCTAACCCTAACCCTAACCCTAAAACAAAACACAAAAACCCATTCCTAACCCTAAACACTACAACCCAACCAAAACAGCAACGTAAACCCTAACCCTAACCCTAACCCTAACCCTAACCCTAACCCTAACATAACCCTAACCCTACGCCTAAGGCACCACATCAACCCTAACCCTCACCCTCACAACACACTTAGCACCCTACCCCTAACCTAAATCCACAAAACCGCAAACATAAATCAAATGCATGAAGAAAACCAAAATAAAAACTAAACTTAAAACCAAATGCAAGTCAGAATACGTTACCTAAATGTCGATTTCGCAAGTGTGAACCAAGGAAGCTTCAATCGCACCTTCAAGGGTTGAGATTCAGACTTGGTTGGAGAGAGGGGACGGAATGCAACCTTTTAGTCGATTAGGGTTTGAAAATAACCCCCTTTGCGAAATGGGTTTTTTTTTTAAAAACCTGATCTGCGACATTTAGTCGACTAAATAATGTGCTTAGTCGAGTAAAAGTGCAAACAATTTAGTCGATTAAGATGAGTTTTTAGTCGACTAAAATTCGCGTTTCATAATTTCTGAGTTTAGCCCATTTAGTCGATTAAAAGTGCAACATAATTGACTAAATGGGGGCAAGATGGTGGATAGTTCTGGGGGAGGGGCAAATTGGTTATTAATTATTTAATTAGGGGCAAAAGGGTCAAAAACCCATGAAAATGGGATAAAATAGCATGAACGTGATTAATGTGATGACTATTCTTAGTGCACAATTTGGTGGATCTCAAAATGGAGTAGTTTTTCAAACCATTTCAATGTTTGATACATTAAATTTAATATAGAATAAACTGAATTAATTTAAATTACACTCATATCCATTATGGAAAAAGTAGAAAATGTCAACTTTTCTTATGTATGATGTTTGATTTTCTTACTATTATTATGATGGATAAGATATTCTGACAACCAAATAATGTTACTACCAATGTTACTACCACATCTTAACCGTTGATTTCTGCCGATCAACGGTTATCATAATTTTAGTATTATTTTCATGTTAATTTTAGTATTTACAATTAATTGCGTTATCATGTTTAAGTTTGAGTAGGTTAAAAACAAGGCTTAATAATAATAATAATAATAAAAGCAAGACTTATTAGAAAAATGAACTTTAAGTCTCATTACAATAACTTTATGCATACAAGTGATTGGAAAAAGTCTGAAGTGAATATTTTCAAAAATTAAAAATTAAAAGTGTATATACTTTTAAATTTTAATGAATTAAGATCATAATATACTCTAAATTAAATCAAGATAAATATAAATTGCTTACTCATTTGAAAAACAAGTTCATGTTAAAAACAATTTTTTTCCAAGTAATAATAGGCCTTGGTTTTACAAAACAAACTAATAGTAATAAATCCACTTCTTACGAAATCAGCAGGAATAGAACTATCACTAAACAATACAAAAATTTCAGGGTGCAAGTTTCATAGTAAATTCGCCAAAAAAAGAAGAAGGTATTACTACTTTGAAGTTAAAAAGATTTAAGTTAGAAATAAACTTAAACAATGTATTTTTTTGAAGGAAAAAATATTTGTCTTTTTAAATGACATAACTTGTGTTATTTTATTCTCATAAAGAGAGGTGAGACTCACACCTTTATATTTTTTTTGTCCACTCTTTTCTTCTTTATCTATCTCATTCTTTCACTTCAAATGACACAATTTTACATCTGTAAAATGATACACACTTTTTCTTTATTTTTTTTAATTCTTTTTTTTTTGGGTTTATTATATTTAATTTTTTTGAAAAAGAAAATTACAAAAAATTTATCCGCTCAATCTGGATAGAACAAGGAACAAGCTTCCAATGTGAAGCAAAAGGTGTTGTGGTTTGTTCACAGCAATGCAACTCCTTCAAACCTCTTATCTCTTCACTTTCCCTAAAACCCTAAACCCTCACTCTCCGCATTTCGACGTTCGCCGTCGTCCTCCTCCGCCTCTTCTCCTCCGCAACCAACCATCCTTCGGTAACCTCCTCGTCGCCAAATCCTTCACCTCAGATGAATTCCCCGTCGACGAGACCTTCCTCGAGAAATTCGGTCCCAAAAACAAAGAGACCGAAGACGAAGCCCGAAGGCGCAACTGGATTGAACGTGGCTGGGCTCCATGGGAAGAAATCCTCACCCCGGAGGCCGATTTTGCGCGGAAGAGTCTCGACGAAGGTGAAGAGGTTCCTCTGCGTACTCCGGAAGCCATCGAAGCGTTCAAGATGCTGAGCCCTAAGTACCGGAAGAAGAAAATGGAGGAGATGGGATTGACCGAGGACGATTACTTCCGCAAGCAGTTCGAGATCAAGGGAGAGATTCCGGAGCCGCTGGTGACGCATTGGCGCGCGCCGCTGGTGGTGCAGTTGATTCCGCCGCGGGATTGGCCGCCGCGAGGGTGGGAGGTGGATCGGAAGGAGCTGGCATTCATTCGTGAGGCGCATAAATTTCTGGCTAGAAGGGTGAGCTTGGAGGAGATGGAAACAGATGACGTGAGCACGGAAACAGATGATATGAGCACGGAAACAGATGATATGAGCTTGGATACAGATGATACGTGGTTGGATACAGATAATATGTGCTTGGATAGGTACAAGATGTTTCTGAAGCAATATAAAGAGTGGGTGAATGCAAATAAGGATAGATTGGAGGAGGAGTCTTATAAGGTTTCATTTTCATACCAATGCAAAATCTTAACTTCCGCTTTTATTTTATTTTATTTTTTATTTTAAATGTCTGTGACTTATGTGGATTGCTCTAATTGTGATGTGAATGTGACAGCAAGACCAAGATTATCACCCAGGTAGAAGGAAAAGAGGCAAGGACTACAAGGAGGACATGGTAGGATAGGATGAATTTGCTATTATTCTTTCTTTATAGTATGTGCGAGGTTTATGAAAACACGTGCTCACTTTTTCTTTTTCTTTTTTTGAATGTTTTGTGCAGTACGAGCTTCCGTTCTATTATCCTGGCCAAGTAAGCTATTGAGCTAATCTTATTCCTTATGAAAAGCATGTTTTTCTGTTGTCTAGGAAGAAGAAATTTTACTTCTTCACCGTATCTTTTCATGCAAACTGGTTGTTATGAATTCGTATGTTTTTAGGTGTATAGGGCATAACATTCCATTTTCTGTGCCACTTGGAAGAAACTAATTTCATATGTCAAGCCCGGGCCATTCTGCGGTAGACCTGCTTAATGATCATTTCAATTATGACAACATGAAAGTTGTTTTTTCTCGATTGTTTACCATGAGTAATTTGTTAGAAACCTTCTTTAAAAAAATTAGATTAAATAAAATCTATGGATAACTGAATTTACCCTTTGATAGCTGCATTGTATCTTTCTAATTTTTTTAATTTTTGTTTGTGTGTGTGTGTGTGTTTCGCCCTGTTATAATGTCTCTATTTGGACAGTTATATTTGTAATGTAGTATGTAATCCTATTTTTCTTTGGCTTTATTTCATCTTCACATATACATACTCAAAGCATACTTTTTCTGTATCATAATTCATAATAAATTTGTAGAATGGAGAATCAGGTTTTTGTAAATGCCTGAAACATAATTTCATATGACATCATTAATTACTTGGGAAATTTTTTTCATGCAGATTTGTGTAGGGAAGGTTGTCACTTTGCATCTCTATCAAGGGGCATTTGTTGACATTGGCGGGGTATATGATGGGTAGCTACCAATCCTTGTTTTGATTGGTCTTTTAAGTGTACTTCAAATCTTCTCTGTATAGAGTGTTTTTTTCCTTATTGTTTCGGTCCTTTCGGATACTGGAGGTACCACTCAAGCACTAACGAGTTGCTTCCACTAATCATAATCTTGCTATTTTGAGTAACTACATTTTTGGAAAGTGTAAGGTTATTAAGTGCTAGATGATCAATATCGCAGGGGACAAAAATAACTACTCCATGAATTTTCTAAAATGGGAAAAGCAACTTTGTAAGGATCTGTAGCAGTGGAATGCTCTATTGAAATCCATAGCCAGGAACAGGAACAAGTCTTAAGAGACACATACTCGGGACTAGTTAAATCTTTGAACTTTGGACCCATTCTTTTGGTAGAGAAAAAAGGATTAAGTTTATATACAAGAGGGGAATCATATTGTCTCTTTTGAGTAGTTTGGCAGCCCGGGTTACTGAAAATATGTCAACTCTATTTTATTTAAAGTTTTAAACAATCCATTTTAGTAAATTTTCAAAAGATTAAAGATGATGTTTTTTCTGTTTATGCAGCCATTAGTTATTACACATTTTCTTTTATTTCCTGTAACTGTATAACCAGCACACTCATATTGTTATCACCAGTAACTTTGAGGCTTTACTTCTATAGCATTTTTATCTTGTTTAGTGTTACTATTTGATGTTTTTTTTATGTGAGTGTTCTTCCGGATGATTCGTATACTGTTATGTGTTCTAGGTGGGTTCCTATAAAGAACAATGATTGGTATTGGATTCGCCATCACATAAAAGTGGGTATGGATGTCTTTGTTGAAATTACGGTGAGTGTCTCAGTCACTAGTTTAGAATTTCCATATTAGTTGTCACTAAATATTCACCTGATATTACTTTCTATCATAGAGTTGACTCTTTTAGCTTTTTCTACTAGTTGCCCATTTGCAGTCTGTGTCAATCCATTGGTAGGAGCAAGTTTGTCAGTGCTGCATTTTTTTGTTCATGTTGCTATGCTCATGCGCCCTTGCATATGATATAACATTGGGTAGACGTAGACCTCATACAATAATTGTGATAGCTCTGCCATATTTTTATTTTATGTCTTTGGCAATAATCACAAACACTTTTTGAATTATGGATACAAGAATCCAAATTCAACATGAAATTTTAGCATTCAAAGAATATTATTTAAGAATCTTTTTTTTTTTTTTTCAGTTATTAAAACCCCTTTTCACCAAGTTCAATATATTAATAATTAATAGCAAATTACTAAAAAGATTACACAAAATTTAAAAAGAAGGAAATATATGAATTTTTTTTTTAATATGTGAGGTTCAGAAGATTGATTCTGAATATGCGGTGGAGCCATGGAATCAGAACAAGGCCCTAGATAGGGCTTTTATACCATAATGGAAAATAAGAGAAGCTGACGGAAAATAGGAGAGAAAAGGAGAGTGAGAGAAAACAGAGAAGATTTGTCTCCGAAGATTCCGATCGTTATTACAGAATAACTTCTAACTGAAATACGAACAGAATATGTATGATATACATACAACAGTAAAGTAGACATTGACCTGTATGATGTACATAATATTCTAATACACTGGCTGCATGTTACTGAAGTTGCTTCTTGTGTATCCATATGTTCAGTTTTTTGTGCATCTATGCATAGTAAAATAAACTTTGCTATGGTTTTTTTTTGTTTTGTTCATAGCCAATGTAGATTGGTAGGATACACAAGGCTATGTGACTGGTTCTATATCCTATAAATTGCTTCCTGACCAAATCTAATTACCAAATGGAGTTTAATCACTATAATGTTAGTTACCAACTTACCATGATGTATGTGTTTAGTCAGAAATGGATTTCTCTTACCAGCTGTTCACGCTATTAATTTATTTACATTTTTATTTTGCAGGCAAAGCGAGATCCTTATCGCTTCCGGTTTCCTATCGAACTTCGTTTTGTTGATCCAAATATAGATCATCTGATGTATGATTATGTGTTTGTGACGTTCAACTTTCTATAACTCTTTCTTAGTACATAGTTTAATCTTTATTAGTTTGATTAGAATTGTTGCAGTAATTTTAACATCTGTTTCATTTTCATACTTCAGCTTTAACAGATTTGACTTCCCACCAATATTTCACCGTGATGAAGATACTAATGAAGATGAATTACGGGTTTGCACCTCTCCCTCTTGTTATGCCAAACCACCCCAATCTTGTTCCATATGAAAAAATATTTTGCATTCACAGAAGCTCTTCGAATTGTAACTTAGCTGTGCTCTCGTTGGTGCTTTCTTTCTGAATGAGTATAAATTCAAATACATCTCTAAGGATTTGTCTGTATCTAATTTTGTTTAATTCAAGATATTTTCATGAGGTTTGACTGAGGCAAAGTTTCTGTTCCCACAGTGCTGTGTTATAATCAGTGATCTGATGCTCATGCTTGGATGATATTATTTTACAATTCATGAATTCTGTATAAACTTTTGATTTTAGCAAAAACAGATTAGGGCCCGATTGATCAATTGGACTTTATCTTTAACATTTGTATTAAGTTGATACTTTTGAAAGAGTTCGTACATGTTTGAGAATAGATTAAAAGTGGGAAATAATTGTTTTTTTTTTTTTCAGAATCCCCCTTAGGAAGCAGCAAAAAAATTAAAGTAAAGAAATGATTATTTCCTCAAAATAAACTAATCCAAACATGGACTTGGTAACAAAGGTTTAAATTAAAAAAAAAAAAACGTTAGTTCCTTGTGAATGGAGATTTTATTAAATATCAACTGAGGTTCAACTCCTCCGAAGGTGCATGTTTGTATTTTAAACCTGTCAAATATGTCTTGTTTTTAAAATTAGTATTATATTTTGATAGTTATTCTTTTGATTTGAGATTTTAAAATTTGCAGCGTGACAGTGGAAGACCTCCTGTTCCTAGAAAAGATCCAGGAGACAAGCCAGAGGAAGAATCTCTATTGTCTAATCACCCATATGTTGATAAGGTATATTTAGATAACAAATTCATTTCTTTAAAATTGTTCGCAAGGAACTATTCTGGTGGACTGTTTAGCTCATGCATAGGATGCTTCTCTGTTTAACTTCAAATTTTATTCCATTTAAGAATAAATTGGCCAATACACATCAATGATTGGTCCTGGTAATGACAACTTTCTCTTTTGGAATTCATTTGTCCAAAAGCAAACAATGGTTCCAAATCCCTTGTGTTTGCATGGACCTGTTTTCAGTTTATAACCTATTCCCACCCTCATCCCTATTGTGGTCAAGGAACCTATACCAGAACCTATTCAAGACTGCATAATTTCGAAGCCATAAAAAACTTTCTAGTTTATATTTGTTTCATACCCGCCCATAGTTGGGCCTAAGTATCTGTGTGGGTAGATGTTTAGTTGGATCTCGCGTAAACAATGTTGGTAACAAAAAAACTGTCCTCCTAATCCTAAAAGAAGTACGAATATTTGCTTTAGTTACAATATTCACATCAAATCCCTGAATGCAAGATATGGTCTGATGGTTGATGGCACTTGTTTCGAGTGCTATTCAGGGATTTCTTTGTTACTAGAAACATAGTATTTTGTGCCTTGTTTTGTTTAGCAGGGACCGTTGCTACACATATTGACACAAATTCTCTTTTATAAATGCTAATGCTGATCTCATCAGCACTATCACAGTATGGGTCAACTCTGTTGTCAAAAGTATAAGGCCCCTAAACTTATAGAATAGCTTGAGGTACACTTATTTATGATTCAAATTTCAATCATTACGGTAACAATATTCCTTGGCAACTCCACACATGACTGACTACCCCACCCCAAAAATGCCCCAACATGACCCATATAGCTAAAGCTTCTGCTGCTGCATTAGTTTTGTGGTAATGAAGCTAGCCTTTGTTGATTTTGATTCTTAAGGTGCATATCATTGTATAGCAAATCCGTCTTGTATATTGTGTGGTAATACAGATCCCAAACAAATAGGCTGTTTTTTTTTTTTTTTTAATTAGTGTTGTCCATTATTTCCTGACAAGAAACCACATAGCTACATATAAGTTTTTAATATAAAATGTTACTATTCAGTTGGTTTCTTAAAAAATGTGTTTGTTTTATTATACGTATAATTGGTCCGTCACCTATATTCATCAGACATTGAGTTCTTTGTTTGGGGAAATTCTAATATGCTCAAAGACTAATGCACCTAGACCATGCAGACAATGGTGTGTGGCAGCACAGTTAAGATATGGACTTGGGATTAACTTTAAGAAAAAAGGAATTTGAACCGTTAGATGCTCTGCACTTTGGAGTCCATAAGGATTGCTCCTTTGTTTGACCTTTTTTCCTATAACCACTAAAGCAAGATGGAGTGCAACAAGAAATAAAGGTAATTGGTTAGGCCGTTTCGCATTTTATAGGCATGTAGTTTCAGGTCATATTTATGTCTAAGTAGTGTGCTAACTGTTTTTTCGGCTACTAAGGAGGTCTAATCTAAAGACCTGGTGTGGGAAGGGGAGGATAGGCTTAAGTGCAGGCAAAATGGCCTCGGTAGGATTCAATTCTGGGATCAAGCTGTCCCCAAAGATACTTTGTTTTCACTTGAGAAACAGCTCTTGGTTTATAACAGAATAACTCTATACAGTAACCTTTGCTATGTTCAAGTAGAAGAACAATATTATGACAAATGAAATTGTGTGTGCTGGTAAAACTTCACTAGAAACATAAAGACTTTTGGCATGAACCTCCTTTGTTGGGTGACTTGGCATGCTTTGCCTTGTATTTTTTCACAATTCTGTTATCATAGGCATGTCTTGAATTCTTTTTGGTTGGACGATATTCATTTGACATCATCACTAACTACGTTTATTTCCTGCAGTTGTGGCAGATTAATGTAGCTGAGCAAATGATTTTGAATGATATGGAGATGAATCCTGATAAATATAGAGGTAAAAAGCTGTCAGACTTGACTGATGAAGAAGATTTTGATGAAGAAAATGCTGTTCAGCATACGAAAGTTTATTATGAGGATAAGTTACTACCGAGAACTATTTTGGTGAGTACTAACTATTCTTATGAAATTGCTTTCACCTGGTTGCTGATTTATTTACCAATTGTTTTTTATACTTTGGCAGAAAACAAGTGTCAAAGAGCTTGATTTAGAGGCTGCACTTGCTGAGCGTGAGGTCAGCTTTCCTATTTTGATAATTTGCATTCCTTTTAATTGCTGGTATTGCATATTACACAGCTGGTTAGAGGGGGACACCTTATGCCATTTTTCTATGGGAAAATGATTGTAAAGGATGCCTATAAATTTGTTGAAAATAATGAAAGGCACAGACAAAGTAACTGTTCACGGAATACCAACATTTAAATCCTGTGATCAATCAAGTTTTTCTACTTCCCCTATGGGTTTGCACCTTTTTCTCATAAGTCTAATGTCAGATTGGTTTTAGCGCTCTCATTATTTCTGTTGACCAAAATGTGAACTTCTGTTAAGGTGTATGGGTCGAGGAAATATATATTGCTTACAAACTTAAATTATAGGATAAATTTATTGGTAATCAGATGGATTTCCTTTGTAATTTAACCTTTTGACCTGAAAGATCATAGCTTAATCTATCCTACTCCGTGGAAATTCATTGATATTTTCTCAAATTGTACAAGAGTTCCTTCACCTGCAATTCAGAATCTTTAGTTTAAGATACATAGAATAGTTTTGTAGTCTCTTTTCAAAATCAGAGATATACCCTTTTGGGATGCAGTTCCATAAGAAACTATGGGAGGAAGCAAAGGACAGAGGTGAGGAATACAAAGTTACCAAATTGAGGCGCAATATCGAGATGGATGAGTATGACTTCATGCATTGGCGTAGATCATTTGAGGAAAGAGAAGCATTGATTAGAGACATCAGCTGGTACTGTTATGTTAATATTAATCAACCTGATTCCCTGTTATGATGCATTAGTTTTTACCGTTCTCCCTTTTTGCAGTCGCAAAGCTCTTGGTATTCCATTGGAAGAGCCAGGAAGGTATGTGGATGCTAATATTATTGGTAAAGGCCAATACGATCCTACGAGTCCTCTATATCGCTATGACTATTGGGGAGAACCCAAGAATTCAGAAAAGAGCAAGCAAGAGCGGATGACAGATGCCCATAACAAGTCAATTGTGGGCAAGGGCACTGTTTGGTATGAAATGTCTTACGAAGATTGCATCAAGCAACAGATGAAAAGAGAAGCCGAGTCCAAGGGACAACATGGCAAACAAGTTAACGATAAAGGTACAAAGGAAGGTCAAGGTGCTGAAGAAGAAGAGGATGACGACGATGACGACTATGTCTTCAGCATTCTGGAAAATCTGGGTAAGAATTTTTCAGATGAGCTTCATGTTAATGGGACCGAGTCTTCAAGAATGTCGGATGAGGGCATTTTTGAGGATTGATGCTATAATGCACTATTTTGTGGCTGAAGTAAAATGTGTACAGTTAGGCTATAAAATGTGCATAAATTTTGGCAGTGTAGAATAAATTCGCCAAGGCAATCTATTTTATTTGTGATGTTTATGAAAATTGTCTATACGTGTTATGTCTTTCATGAATTGCATAAAAAGCCGTGGTTGACTGATACAACCATTTAGGTTTTCACAAAAATGAGTCAAAAGAAGACATTCTGTTAAATGCACAACCTTTGGAATTTTAATCCACTATACAGGTTTAAGCAAAATATTAAATATAATTGTTGTGAAAATAGTTCTAAATTTGCTGTGTCAATTGATATATTAGGGTGAAACAATTTCAATTAACAATTAATAATAGTAGAGACAGCCACGTTTGAAAGACGTGACCATTTAAATTTTGTATGAAATAGTATATAAATTAAGGGAAATATTATTCTTATGTAACATAAGATAATATCTCTTTTTTATACACCTATTGATTTCTGTGTAATTTAATTTTTAATTTTTTTTAAGTGAATAAACTTCACCTATGATTGTTTCTATGGTAAAAAAATATTACTCTCCTACAACATGAAATTAATAAAGCCCATAAATTAAACAAGATATACTTTCACCACTTTGTATGAGGTAAATTGGGCGTATTCCTATCCTTGAGCTTACTATGTAATTTTTAGTGACCTAAACTTTAATTGTGCGCAACAAAAATTTTGAAATTCAAGAAAATCGAAGACAAACTTGCCCGCATCACATTTGATACGATTAAAGCCTAACCTAATCACTGACAATCACCGTTTAAGAAATATCTAGTAAAAGAAATCTTACAACATCAAGGAAAAATTACATAGAAAGAATTGCTTTTACCTCGGCTCTAAAATATTTTACATTATGAATGAAGCTAACTATTCAAGGTCAGGCACAGAACGAGTTCCTTTTTACATGCAAAATTGGAAATATCATTATCGATACAAACTTTCATTCTAGATATCAAACCCCTTCAATAAATGGGGCTGCAAGCTTCGTATTCCACATTTTCAAAAACCATTTCCCAAGTTAAAACCAAATTTAATCAGAAAGAAGCAAAACCAAATCCAATAATCATCCTCTTGGCTCTACGCTTTTGCTATCCCATCAAATTTCATAAGGTGCCCAGCCAGCGTCAGACCATAGAAACAGCTATTATTGCTCCACGCTCAAAAAGCAGCGTCTCTAAATCCAGCAACTGTTCCTCAGAACCACCGTTTATATATTTGTTCAATTAGAGCAACAATCAGCGGGGAAAAAATCAATCAATTTCTCCTTCTTCTACATCATTTGATGGCCCAGCAGCACTCTGAGGCGGTTCTTCCTCCTCATCCTCATCATCAACCTTCATGTACAATCCTAGCTGTTCTAAGGGATTTCCCTGTAGCTTGAAACTCAATCCGTTTTGAGAATGTTCTGGGCTTGTCTCCTCCTTGAAACTTGGTGTATGTTCATCACCTACAGCACTCAGCATCTCTAGATCTTCCAAAAATTGACTGCTCTCATTGATGTCAACAGTTTTCTCCATCTGCAAACACAGATAATCAGTGAAACTTAACAAGCAAGTAGAACTTGCATCCTGACATATTCTCTTCTTTGAAAATTACCTTTTGCAAAGCCTGACGTGCTGCTTCTCTCTCCAGTTCCCTCTTTCTTTTGGCTTCAGCAGCAGCTTCTGCTTCGGCTTTCCTACGAGCCTCTTCCGCAGCCTTTGCCTCTGCCTGCAATCTAGCTTTCTCTGATGATCAAAAACAAAATTATAAATATCAGTTGAATCTGGAAAAAACCGAAAAAGTATTTTATGACACAGGGACTATTGCCCTATAGAACAAATATCACAAGGTGCAAAAATAAAAAACACACCCTCCTTCTGCTGTCTTTCAAGATCTTCTCGCTCTATCCTAAGTTTTTCAGGGTCCCGCTTTTCAACCTGAAATAAAGATTGAATTAACACACCAGGATTCAAATAAAACAGGCAATAATGTTGGCAAAGTTTCACAAAAGGCGGTGATGATGGTAAATTGGTAATTATCGTGAATGGATCCTTTCGTTTTCGAAATTGTGTTATCTCTCTCTTCATAGAGATTTAATAGATGGATTACAATCAAAATTTACAAGTATTTAGATAGAGATAGACAAAAAATTTCACATGACAAATTCATTTAAAATTTTAACATGAAACAATCCATTCCTGAAATTACCAGATTGCATACCTTGGCAGTAACAGAACTGCCCTACTGGTGAGAAGAAGAGAAAAAAACTAAACACTTCAATCTTTGATGTTTTTCAGATTCCTTGTTCCGCCCAATAGACCTGTTCTATTAATACAGGGAATAAAAACCGCAACTACCACATTACCACATTAACAAACCTTTTCAAGGGCTTTCTCTCGAGCTTTAAGTATAGTGTCAGCAAACCGGCTCCTTAGTAAAGCTGCACGGTAGAGCTTTTCAGGAGAGACTTGCCTCTTAGATGCAGCACTCTCCCCTAAAATGTTACAGCATGAAGGGTGAGACATTGCCCCAAAACTAACAGCAGACAGATTTCTTCATGTTTCAAGCTTACCCTCTTGACAGCTTTCTGGCTCAATTGTAACTGGCTTAGTCTGGGAACTCTGCTCAACTTGGTTATCCACATTCATTGAATCTATACAGGAAAGAGATGATGAGCTACAAGGCAACAAGGCCTGAGACATTCTCTTCAAAAGTAATGCCAAGAAACCATAATGTAAGCACATGGTTACAAAAAAACACCATCAACTTTGATACTAACCCATTCTGGTTTCTGAATTACCAGGCTCCCCTCTATTTTGATCAGAAGTCAAGCCAGATCCTACCTTTTCCTGGAATACATAATTTTGTAACAAAGATATTGGTCAAAGCAGAATAAAATTGCATTCTATCAAAACCATAACATCTAACACCATATGTATCCTGATACCTTGGTTGCGCTAAGAGGTTCTGATGCTTTAGCAGGATCTAGCCCAATACCAGATGAACTACCAGAGTCTGAATCTGTCGTGCCACAATTGCAAGAGTCAGCCAAGAATAACAGAGTCTAGGGACAATTCATTTTCAAGTGATTAATTTTGCCATCATCATAAGCCAAACAAACAGAAATGCCAGTATATACTGAATTTATAAGAGGAACAGTGAAAGAAACTATCTCTGCCTTCCTAATTCGTAATGCTATGCATAAGTAAATTGAATCCCCAACCATATTTGTAGAGAAATAACACTAGTAAAATACAGAAAAGTAAAATTGAAATGACAGACATTTTCTTTTATTCAATACATTATGGTACGTACGTAGGATGAACCAACAAGTTTTAGAAAATACAGTTTGGGGGGGGGGGAGGAAATCTAAGTTAAAGACAAATTAGCTGTAACTGAGTTCAACCACAAAAAGAGACCAAATGAAATACTCAGAAAGGACCAAATATTTGTATATAGCATCAGGTTTACGCTGCTTCTGCACTATCAGTTTTGTGTTTCTGCACTAATTTAGTGCATTATTGTACAGCACTACTGTGCTACTGCCTGCATCAGATTATATCTTGTTGAGTTAGAGGGGAGACATTATTATATCTTTATGGAAGAAAAGGTAAAGGGAACAACAGGCCCAAGAGGGTTGGACCAGAATCAGGGGTAGAAGGAGCAAGGCAAGAGGATCCAAGCTCAATGGTGGAAAGGAATTCAGCAGGTCATAAAGAAGACCCAGGAGAGGATCCAGGCCCAGGTGTGCAAGGGAATCTGAAGGAAATAGAAGAAGATTCTGGTCAGTGCAAAGAGTGAAGGAAATTAGTTGGAAGAGAGAGAAAAGTTGCTAACGGTTAGGAGGGATGGGTGTGGGGTTTATTATGTGAATAGAGGGTGTGACTGTGTGAGGGGGGCATGTTGATAGTAGTAAGTCATTTCTGGGGAGGATTGAGGATCCGTTGCGGACCTCAGGGAGTCTGTTTCTTGAGCCTGTATCCTAGCTTTAACAGAGTCTTTCTTGTTTCTGCTTCTTTTGATTTGTGTAAGGCACACTGCTCCAGCGTTTCTGTATTTGAATACACAGGAAAACATTCAGTTCCATCATAGGATAATTAGTTATTCTGTTAGTTCTGTTCGATCAGACTCCTAGGTGAGTCAGAAAAGCTTTAGCTCTATAAAATTAAATAGAGCTCTTGTACTCTTTCTGAATCTTGGTTACACATAATCAAGATCAATCCTCAGATTCTCTCTTTCTTGATCTCTCCCTCTCTCCATATTCTGATTGCAAAACCGTCAAAATAGTTTCTGGTAGCAACCACTTTGTGCACATGCCATGAGGACAAGGAGTTCATATTTCAAAATAGAAACAAAATATATAATTTATAATGTAAATTAAAGCACTACACAGATAAACACAATCAGAATAGCTACATTCCTCTCATCAGAATCCACTAACAGTACACCAGAATGCTAATTAGGGGTAAGGGAGGGGAAGCAACAGATAGAAAGGGAGAACCAAATTGACACTGGAATATCTTTTGTAAGAAGCTGCTATGTAAAATAGTTTAAGGACTTAAAACCAAGCACGTAAAATAGTTTAAGGACTTAAAATTTTTACAGAAATTTGGATTGTATGACAATGCAGGGGTACCCGTTTAGAACAAATAAGAATGAAGAGCAAATTCTGGGTATACATGTGCAATCCGAAGAGACTTAAAACATCCTGAAACAAGAAACATGTCAAAAGTATGAAGAAACACGAACCACTGGATGAGGTTCCAGATTCACTACTGGAGCAGCTTGAACTACTGCATTTACTGGTTCTATTGATTCCATCTTTCTCAATCTCTACTGGAGGGTAATCTGAAATAGGAGGATCATTCCCACCAACAATGTCCACATCCTCCTCAACTTGTTCATTTCCTGCATTTACAGTGAAAATAAAAGTTCGCAATTAGTGTCAATTATTGTGGATATTTCTACAATAACTACAAAAAATTTACAAAACAAGAAGCATAATATACCTTTACATGGTTGCATTGATGAATTGCTAAACCCCGATTTACTCAGGAGCTGAATAAAAATCAATCAAGCAAAAAATTGTCAGTCAGTATTCTTTATAGACATGCACATAATAATAGTTTAATGCACACACTCACATATACAAGCGTAGATCTACTAACCATGTGTAAAACTCTAATAACACACTCCACTGAATAAATCTTTATAAATGTCAAATTTCATCAATTCAACTGTTAGATTGAAAGTTATCATAAGGAGGATCAAGATCATAGAATTTTATAACTAATTGATCTACTTTATATTCATGTTTTACAAGCTTTTAGCATACATGATACACTTTTTAATTAGATACTTATGAATGTCTAGTTTCTTAAATTTGATAAGCACAATCAGCACAATAACATCACATGATTTGCAAATTGGATTAGTCACACAAACACACACACACACACACACATTGAGAGAGAGAGAGAGAGAGAGACCTCCATTTCACACTGTTCAGATTTTGCCTTGATTTTTTGCTTCTCCAACATGTAATCATCAAGAAGCTTCCGCAGTCTGAATAAGGTATCATCACTAAGGGCATCAATATCAATCTCAATTTCATCATCATTGGTTTGCCCTGCATCATGACTATGCTCTTTCAAGAAATCAACAATGGTTTCAGGCAACTCTCCAAGCATTGCCTCTAACTGAAGACTCAATTTCTGCTTCTCCTCGTCAGTCATAGTTCGTTTAACAGGCTCTGGCTTGACATTGGTATCATTTGATGTCATTTTCTTCTTTTTTGCAGGAGGAATTCTGCCAGAAATTTCAGTTTCTACACGAGAAACAAGTTTTGAAGGCTCAGGTGGGACACTATCAATGGCAGGAATTTTCTTCTGTACAGCCTTCCATCTCTTTTCAAAAACTTTACTAAGGGTCTCTGCCATGATATGTACATCATTTCCAGGTGGATTATAAGTCATTGCATTTGAGAAAGTCCGCCGTACATCAGCAGCAAAATCCATAGGATTTGAATATTCACCAGATGTTATTCTACGCTTTACAGTACCCAAATCCATTGGATGTTTGATGACGGTGAAATAATCCGGAATGTTCAATTTAACAACATCAACGGGTGTGTTAAAAACCCAACCAAATTGATGAGACATCAAATGGTTAAGTAATGTCTCACACTGTTTCATCAATGTAGCATATGAAGTCACTGGTGCGGCAGGTTTCACATATTCAAAATGCCCAGACATACTTCCCTTTGTCTTGGGACCATTACGTCCTGGTAAGGGCCTTTTCTTACCATGTGGCACTGATGTTTCCAATGTTGTATGCTGGCTCTGCAGCTGAGGCCTCTTCTGTCCCGCACTGCAGCTCCTTATGTCACTAGAGGGAGATAATCCAACAATATGCGAGTTCATACTGTCAACTTTCTTCTGAACTTCCCTTACTTGTTCAAGTTCCCAAATTAACCTTTGTTTCAAATCCTTTCTCTCAAAACCCGACATCTTTGATAATGAGAAATGTTTAAAAGGTACATCAAAACTACCATAAAGATCACCATTCAAACTAAGGCGTTTATTCTTCGGTGCACAAGAATCTGCTGATACCATCAGCTCTGTATCAACCCTTCCCGAGCTACCCAACCCTTCTGATTCACCCATAGTCTCTACAGCATGACGAAAATCAGGAACAAAGCCAGTAGCATAACCCTTAGAGTATTTCCGAGATTTCCCCATGATCTGTGAATGAGAGTACTTCCTGGATTGCTTTTGTCCAGCAAACTCTATAGGTACAGTTGGTGCCATAAGATAAAATTCCAATAACTACACATATCAACTCTGACAAAAAGTTCTGCTCCCACACAGCAATTTCTGAAAAGAAAAAAAATCCGAATTTCCAGATGCACAAATTAAGTCTTATACTCCGAAATGTAATACAAAATATTATTAAACCCAGTGAAGGGTGTACTTCATTCACACCCAATTGACTTATTTCAGTTTTATCGTTGACAATTAGCTTTATATCCAGAAATGTTAAACCTTTAAGCGTATAACAATAGTCTTCTCCGCTTTCCCGTTGCAATAACAATTACTACTTAATATCCAAGACCATTTTCTACTTAATATCCAAGACCATTTTCTACCAGGTTTGACTAATCGAAAGCAAGAAACACAAGTCTCCTCGGAATCCTTATTCTCAGCAGACCAAAATTGGCAAGGGCACCGTCATTATTTCAAATCGACCACAAAAATCAAACAATTAATCCAAGTATAAGAAGATGCTCTAACCCTAACATTTTCAAATCGAGAGGAAATTAAGATAGAGATTAATCGGAAGCATAAACCCTCGATCGAGAAAAAATGGCCGATCGAAGCAAAAGAAAATGTGCGAAACCCTAAGCAAGAATCCAATTCAAAACCTGGATGTCTAGCAGGACCACGCAAACGGAATGTGCCTCAAACCCTTACAACAACACCACCCTTCCTCGCTTACTTCAACTTAGAGAGAGAGAGAGAGAGAGAGAGAGAGAGAGAGAGAGCGAAACGAAATCTACACAGAGCCTGAGGTTGTTCCTGTACTTAAAGCCATTTTCGCATCCCCATATCTAACGGCACAGCTTCAACGAGTTGATCTTAATCGCACGGTCAATGATGCGTTCCCGCTTGCTCTGTGGGGACCCTATTGATTATGATATACAAGCAAGTAACTGCCTACGTATTTCCTATTACTAGTTAAGTAGTTATCGTTCGTATCTTTGTATTACGCAATTTATTTAAATTAAATATTTGCAATTATAATTTTTTATTTAATACATAAATATTTAGCATATTTTAAATTATTTTATTTTATTTTATTTTAAGTAAATCTTATAATTAAAATCTTATAAATAAATATTGATCGGTCTTTTAATGTTCTTCAAATCTTTTCTCTATAGTGTGTTGATTTCCTTCGTGTTTGGGATGCTGGAGTACCTCTCAAGTCTCAAGTGCTAATGAGTTGCTTCCACCATCACAATTTTGTTAATTGAGTAACTACATTTTTAGAAAGTGCAAGGTTATTTAATGCATGGATAATCAATTTCGTGGGGGACAAAAATAACTACTCCATGAATTTTTTTCATTTAATTTTTTGAAATTAACTCAAATCCTAATTTTTTTTTTTTGAGTCGAGTTAGCTTTCTTTAATATTCCATAAGTTTTAACTCTTTGAGTTGATTATGTGATTAATCTAAAATGCAGAATGGATCAAGTATGAAAATATTTAAACTTCTCTAAAAAAAAATGATATAGATTTTCTAAAATAGGAAAGGTAACTTTGTAAGCATATGTAGCACTGTAATGCTATGTTGAAATGCATGGTCAGGGACAAGAACAAGTCTTAGGAGACACATAATTGGACGAATTAAATCTCTGGACTTTGGACCATTCTTTTGTAGACCAAAAAGAAATAGTAGTTTATATAGAAGGGAGCCATAATATTTCTTTTGAGGAAAAGGAATATCTCATATATTATTTAATATAATTGTGTTATATGAAAGAATCTTAATTATTTATGAACTAATCAATGGTGTTGAAAGATGAGATAGAAAAAAACATTGGGGTAGAGAGTGACAAAATTATTACTATTAATTTGTCCATTAATAGTTAAGCTCTTTCCTATGACATAATCATATTAAATAACGGAATTACTCTCATCTTTTGAATAATTTGGCAACGTGAAGGTTACTAAAAACATGTCAACGATCTATTTCATTAAAGTTTTAAATAATCCCTCTTAGTTAATTTTAAAAGGATTATGGTTTCTCTATTTATGTAGCCATTAATAATTACACATTTTATTTAACTTCCTGTAGCAACCACAATCATATTGTTATCATCGCTAACTTGGAGGGCTATATATACTTCTATAGCAGCTTTTATATTGTCTAGCTTTGCTATTTGAGCTTTTTATTTTTGAGGGAGTGTTCTTCTTGAAGATCCAAATACCTGATGTTTTCTTAGTGGGTTCCTAAAAAGAACAATAATTGGTAATTGGTACTGATTCCCCCATCATATAAAAGTGGGTATTGAACCAGAGCTCACAAGATGATCTGAGGTGCGAGACTCGGGCAAAAGTTGGGTAAAGGAAAAGGTGTATGCAGAGGGTACGGTTCTGATGTATTGTGATGTAGATGGTGCAAAATGAAGGTTTAGGTTGCACTGATGAGGAAGCATGAAGGACAGGTCTCCATAATATATGTGACGGGGGTATACATAAATGGAAAAAATATTTATCATTTTAAAAAATATAAAATTGTGTCATTTTAAGTGTGAGAAAAAAACACAAATCAATTTCTTCTCCATAATTTCCATTACTGGTATCTTTCTCTCGTTTAAAATGAACAATTCTGTATCCTTTAAAAAAATAAATATCAAACCCTATTATATAGGTCAACTACGATTCTCTAGATGATGAATGTGTGATGCCAAGACCAGTGGTCTTGTGGGCCCCACTTGCATGTGTGAGCCAACATACTTCTCATGGTGAAGGCATGTTGTTGTGTGTGAGAATGAAAAGGAGGAGATTTGATGAAAAAAACGAACATGTGTCCTGTCATGGGATAGAGAATCGAGCCACGGAGTGGTCCTATAATGCACCTACGCAAAACATGTATGCAAGTCATTGTTGAAATTATGATGAGAATTTTCATATTATTTGTCACTAAATTTATTCACATGATATTACTTTTTAACATAGAAACGAAGCTTTAGTTTATAATACCTGTAACAACCCAAAAAATTATGTAAGAAAAATATGAAATTGTCATTAATTTTATTTAATTTAAGAAAATTCTAAAAACACTTTAATTTAGCGAACTGATCTTTGAAAATTTTAATTTGAGCTCTGGAGTCTTAAGTATGATGGTGGAAATTTAATTCCATAGCATTACATCCGTTTGAAAATAATTATCTTTAATTAATCGTACAAATTACTAATAAATTTTAAAATATTCTTTTACTCCTAATAAATATCTTTCATCGTTAATTTGCTCTATTTATTAAATTGTTTACATTTTAATTTCTAAAGAAGGAACCAAAGGATAATGGTGAGGAATACAAAGTTACCAAATTGAGGTGCAATTTGAGACGGATGAGTACAACTTCATGCATTGGCGTATATTGTTTGAGGAAAGAGAAGCATTCATTAGAGACATCAGTTGGTAATGTGAAAGTTAATATTTATCAACCTAATTCCCTATTATGATGCATTAAAAAAGGAGGACATGCAAGTAGGATCTTATACGGAGTTTTGTTGCGGAGGACTGGAGTTAATATTTATCAACCTAAACCCTCCACAAAAGTCTAACAGGGACGTGTAGGAGTGTAAATGGGCTGGGCTGGGCCGGGTTTTGATTTTTCTGGCCTAAGCCTATGTAAAAAAAAGTTAAGTCTATCTGGCCTATCAGCCTATCAAAGGCTTCGTTTATAGGCCAAGTCTGCTCTATTTTTAAAAAATAAAAGGCCTACTATGGCCTATAGGCCTTGTAGGCCTACCAAGGAGTGATTGAGTTATTTTTCTGGACATAGATTGTAAAGTAATAATTGAGAATCGTAAACCATAAATATATCAAATTTTGTGGACCCCCAAGCTCATAAAATAAATATATATAAATCTTGAATCCATCAACAAAAATAGATATATCCATCAACAGAAATAGATATAAAATAAATATATCAAATTTTGTGGACCCCCAATTGGGGAGTTGTTGAGAAAACACAACGAAGCATAGAAACAGAAATAGAGTAGTTCCAATTTGATAGAGCAAAGGAGCAGCACAAAACTGCAACCTGGCACATGGTTATACAACAACAAAATGTTATCTCCAGTTTCCCTGCTTTTACAACACATATCCAGTGGATCACTTACAAATACAAATTAAATATTAAACAACTCCTGAAATATTGTCATTGCATACCCAAGTTTAAATGTAAAAAGGTTAAGAGATACCAATCATATTCTCAAAGTGAAATTGTTCAGCAAGATTAAGAATTACATAACTTGAAGGTTCAATTCGGCTAAATCTTGGATTCCTCCAAGAAACACGTCCGTGCATGTGCCTTCTAAAAACTTGGAAAAACTAAAAATTGAAAAACTAAAAGTTCAAAAGCTTGCTTGTTGTCCATCAGATTCATGCTTCATCCAACGATCTACAATTTGTCACATCAGCCATTTCTCACTATTGTGCTTCCCTGTTATCACATACATGGCAAAGGAAAATATAAGGGAAATTACAATTCTACCATTAATAACTCAATCAAGACAAGGGAAAAGAAAGTATTATTGAAAGATGCTTCATCAATAACTTCATAAACCAGCAACAACAAGGTACCCATTACTCCACAATATTAAGTTGCATCAGCAATCAGCATGTAACATTACATGACAAAAATTACATGACAAAAAAGTGTAGAAATTTACATCTACCTGTAAACCCTTTAAAGCAATGAAACAGAGGCAACACAAGTCCATCAACCTAGCCATAAAAAAATAAGAAGGGAACCAACTATAAATTCAAACAAGCAGAAGCAATATATGAGAAAAAATAATAATTAAGTACTTAATAACAAGAATTCTATTTATACCTTTTATTTTTTTCTTCAAATCATACTTGTTTCGTAGCCAATCTCTGCCACAAACTAATGCTTGAATAGTCTCTTCGCCTAAACTAGCACGATAGGCATCAATTACTCTTCCACCAGCACTAAATGTGGACTCAGATGCTACTGTAGAAATTGGAACAGCTAATATATCTCTTGCCATCTTTGATAAAATTCTGTATTTCAAGCTGTTGGTCTTCCACCATTCCAAGGCATTAAAGGAAATGTGAAATTTTTCATCACAAATATAAACCCCTTCTTCAAGATAACTTTTTAACTCTGATTTTACTGGGGGAACAATTTCCTTTTCACGCACAATGCTCATGATTTTAGAAAATCCAGATTTAGGACCTTGAGGTGGGAGAGTGGAAGACAAGGATGATTGGTTCACACTAGTTTCTAGCTCACTATTAGAGACTGGCTCTTGCAAACCTAAAGCACAATACTCATTATACAAATCTTCTAAAGCTTGCTTCACTTTTTCAACATTTTCTTTTGCCTCAACTTCTGATTTGTATATAATTGGGAAGCAAATATTTACCACATGCAGTTTGCACCTTGGGTCAAGAACACTAGCAATCGCCATCAGCAGGTTGCACTCCCCCCAATACTTGTTAAATTTTACTTTCATTGGCCTTGCCATTGATCTCATAAAATCATCATTATCTTCAATTGCAGCATCAATTACTTCTTTAACCCTATAAACTTCAGGGAGATATAAATTGGTTGTGGGATAGTCACTACCTGATATGACATTAGTAACATGACTAAAAACCTCCAAAAGATTACAGACCTTATCAACTTTGATCCATTCCTCTGCAGATGGCAGGTATTTATAATATGGTTCCCTTTCCTTGTATTCCGGAAATACATCTTTGAATATTAAAGCAGTAGATAGCATTTCACAAGTTGAGTTCCATTTAGTAGGACAATCAATAACTAACTTTCTTTCTTTTACCCTCATCTGCTTAACAATATCACAAAAAGTCTTCAACCTCAAGTCAGATTGATTGACAAATTTAACACTTTCACGAACATTCTCGATTATATCTTTGATATGACTAAGGCCATGTTGCACTAATAAATTCAGAATATGAGCGCAACATCTAACATGAAATATGTTTCCATTAAGGACTAAATTGTTGCTTCTTGACAATGTGCTCTTGATATTTCTTATGCAAACATCATTATACGCAGCATTATCAACAGACACGGAAAACACCTTATTTTCAATCCCCCATGATTCCAGACATTTGAATATTGCATCAGCAACATCAACCCCACGTCTTGGAGGTGGCACTTTGACAAAACTTAACACTTTTTTTTGTAATTTCCATTCTGAATCAATATAATGGCCAGTGATGACCATATACTCAGCAACTTGGTGATTAGATCTCCACATATCAGTGGTTATACTAATCCTATTCACATTCATTAATTCAGCCTTAAGACACTTCTTTTCTGCCTGATATATTGCCATGCAATCACTTTTTATTGTTTGACGTGAAACTTTCTCAAAATCAGGATTTGCAAACTTAAAAGCCCACATCCAAACAGTGTCCTCTACAATGCTAAAAGGATACTCATGTACCATGATAGCAGTAGCAATAATTTCTCTCATCTTTATATTAGAATACTTACCTCTTGGCGTAAGGAAAGGGTTCAAGGCAGAACTTGTAGGTTGAAATGATATTGTTGACTGCTTTAGTCGTGATTGGTCTATTTTCCTTCTCAACCAGCTTTCTGAATGCCTCCTCAAGTGGCTAGTGCTAGCTCCACACCCACCCGTAGCAAATTTAGCTTTGCAATAATTGCAAACTGCTTTTCGTTGACCATTGGGGAGAGTAACTTCATGAAACTCATTCCAAACAGTTGATGTTTTTCGCCTTTTTTTTCTATGACTGAATTTTCACTATCACCAGCAGCTGCAGAATCTGATGCAGCTGCAGAATCTGCTGCAACTGCAGAATCAGTAGCAGCTATAGCACTATCGGTTACTTCTTCTTCTTGTTCATTCCTTACTTGAGGTTGATTGGGGTCACTTGGTACGCTAACAATAGCATTACCACTTGGACTTGGAGCAGAGTCCATTTTCTATGCCTATAAAAAAAGGTACAAAAAACAGAGCAATCACAAACCTGGTGAGAGATGAGACATATATAACGAGACAGATATATTTATTGGCAGCACCAAATAGAAAATCAAATTACAGCTATCCAAAAAAAAAAAAAAACCCAAATTACAAAACTATATATATAGCCAGGAAAGCCTTTAGATGTTAAGGTTTAACTAAACAAATTTCAGTGAACAAAAACAAGATCTGCTAAAAAAAATCCTGAAGCAAATCTGGGGCCTCTTCTAACCAATTTGGAGGAGATTAGACTATGTAAACATTAATGATTCAGTGAAGGTTGCAGACTTGCATTGAATCAGTGATCATTTAGTTGTAAAAAAACAACAATAAAAATATGACATCAACTATGTACAAAACAGATAAACAACAATTGAATGGTCAACAAAGCTTACGGTTACTCTCTAGTCAGTGCCTTCCACATGCAGCAAAAACAGCCATAATGAAAATTGAATTAAGATAGGAACATAAAGGCGAGAAAACTTTAGATGAGTTACGCCAAAAAAATGCAGATGCCATATTTAAATATTTGTTAACTTGGATTTGTAACATACAGACCAAGTTAAAATCTTAAATCCTAATATCAACGTACTCTAAATTAATTTGTCTATAAAGTAAGTAAATAAGAGTATTTCTACTCTTAAGTTTTAGTTAGTAAAAATCACAATACATTTTCAATTTAATTTTAAAAAATGGATATATGCTGGTTTGTGATTCCTGATTACTGCATTTTCATGCTCTATGATGAATGTCAGAGTACAGAGTGTAGAGAGTCACGGAGCAAAGTGCAGAAACTCATTCCAAACAGAGGGAAATTGATTTTAGTAAAGTACACCAAACAATAACCGATGACAGACACCACTTTCTGTCTCTCCCCTACATGCAGCACTCCCCATTTAATTTTTATCTTTATACCATAAAATCCAAAAAAATAGAAGAGGGAAGAAAACTTCTTACCCACAATCTGTAAAATCCGTTGAAGAAAATAGAGAGAATGAGTACACTCAACCTTGTTGCTCCTTCGATTTCGCAAGCACACAGAAAAAGGATGGTTCTTCAAGTTCTGTGTACCATAAAGAACATCACGAAAGTGGGCTTTTGGGAGAGAAAGAAAAAGATTAGGAGAAAGAGAGGGGAGAGAGAAAGCGTACCTAAACAGATTTTGTTGGAAATGGCCGGCGACAACTTACAAGCACGTCGAAGAGAAGGAGGAAACTGAGAAACGAGCGTGAGAACTGAGAACGAGAAGAAGACACTGAAGACGTGAGAAGAAGATGAGAAGCGGCGCTGCACGAAATGAAATTAGGGTTGGACTTGAAAGTGCTTAGCCAGTTAGCCACCTAGAATAAAAAAATTATTTTATTTTAATAAATTAAGTAGGCCAGCCTACAAGGCTTTAGGCCAGGCTTGACTTAATTGGCCTATGGCCTATTTAATAAAAAGGCTCTCTTAATAGCCTAAGCCTACTCTATTATGTATAAAGGCCAGGCCAGTCCAGGCTCATCGTAGGCCGGGCCAGGCCAGCCTGGCCCATTTACACCCCTAGGGACGTGACATACGCCATTTTAAATCTTGTGATGTCAACTACCTTGTGTCAAAATTTAAGAACAATAGGAGGTGTACGCTGTCCTGTAGAAGCCAAAGAGCATGGACTGCTCTGGACGCCCCTGTGCAGGGGCTATTTCTGACAGTTTTGGGAGAATTTATTCCCGCTTCGTTTCTTGGTCAAATTAGGTTTATTATATGTCAAATTGAAGCTTGAGGTGTCTAGTTTACTGTATGAAAATTTGTAAGTAATTGAATGAGTGTATTTTCCAGAATCGTTGAGGAAGTGAGGGCTGTTTGGAGCCTTGTTTGGGGTTGGCTGGCAGATTTGCTTGTCCAACTTCAAACGGCAATAACCGGAGCAAACGAGAATTTTATAAATCGTGTGATATCTTGTTAGAAATATAATTAAGTCTAGAATAACATACTAAAAGATGAGTAGTGCGCGACATGCAGATTATCTGCAGTAATTAAGTTACCGAACCATGTTCGGATAGGTAGAAAACGTAAAAGTGAGATTTTAGCTAAGTGACTTTATGGGAACCCCTTATTGACTTAAGAGGAGTATTATATGATATTTAGACAGTTTAAATAATTATTTCGCAAAGAATTTACAGTTACAGTCATAGTTTTTATTTATTACGCTTTATTATTGTTTTAAATGCTCGCGTAATCAAAAGAAAAAAGTTTACTCGCATTTTTATAAATGAATTGCTGTGATTGTAACTGCGCTTAATATCATAATCAATGTTAACAATACCGATGTACAACGGGCTGTTACAGTATGTGTAACACACCGTATATATCTGGTAATGTTATCATACTATCGTATTAAGCTGCGCTTAATTAAAAAAATTGCGGAATATCTTTTTCTTTTCAATTATGAAGTCATTATCATTACCAACTTGCTTATTAATCAATTAATAAAACATCATCTGTATGCAATTGCAATAAAACAGCTAACTGAAATACCTCATTAATTAAAATAACATAATGTATGTCTCTAGTCGCGGAACTACAACACGTAGACCGAACCACTAGCAGTTTATACAACTCGACTCAAAATTACTAACAACAAAGTGGCATGGACAACTCCCATGCTCACCCAAATAAGGCAACAAAGCCCAAGATAAGTCTCAATTCAAAACATAAAGAGCAGAAAATATAAACAACATCCAATCCAGTCATGTCAGCAATACAGCATAAATATCATAATCAGCTAAGCTCTGACCTCCTGCCGCCAGAGGCATCAGTCACCATACTACCTGAACCTGAAATAAGCATTCCCCAAACGTGAGGTGAGATCTCTGAACAAGAAATCTCAGTAAGGCAAAGGGTCCTCAAGGATCTTCCACCCCAAGCTCACTTACATGTGCAATATAAGTTTAAAAGAAGTTCATCAATATCATTTCTAAAACAGTGTAATGCAGCAGATAATCATGTCATGTGTGTCAATTCTATTCTACTGATCAGAGAAATGCAGGAATACGTCTATTACCCACACAATATGCAAGACGCTACTTGCACCCACCCACAGACTCACCATCTTGTATGACGCCACATACTCTGGCTTACCGACTAAGTGGAAACAACACATACATATTATAAGCCATTGCACATATCAGCTCAAAAGCATTTCAAAATATCCAAAGCATGTACACAGCACGCATATAACCATACCCCCATGGGACATCGTAGAACCACAACATGGCTAAACCGAGGACATGAAAGCTTACCTTGCAAGCTAACACCCAAAGCCAAGAGTCCACAGCTCAAAGTCCAAACACAGCAGATTCACAATCTGTTATGGACCAATAATATATCAATAAACATGCACCACAAGCATACAATATTAAGACAACGCCTTTCCATTACGTTTTACATCTTAAGGCTTCACACAAGCCATAAGCCCTTAATCATATGAATCTGACTTATATCAATTAATTACAGAAGTTCAACTTCCTCAAACTAGGGTCCACAAACCCATAGATCAGTTCTGGATGAACAGTACGCTACTGTTCCTCGTCAACCCAGAATATCCGGATATTGCTCGGGGACATATCCGGATATCCAATATCCAGATATCTCATAGGCAATATCCGGATATCCAATATCCGGATCACTCTGGTAATATCCGGGTATCACTATCTGGATATCCAGATCCCCATATCCGGATATTCCACGGGCAAATATCCGGATATTTCGCGACAGAATGCAGTTTCTGCATTTCGCGAAGATATCCTTCCAAGGTTCCATTTTTAACACTTCCAGAACCTTAAACATGCATCTTAAGGTTCATTGAGGTTCACATGACAGTTGGTTACTTGTTTAATTCATTAAACATGCCAAGACTTCATCTTTAAGCAACAAAACTCAAGAGCAAGGTTGGTACAACTCACCAAGGTTCAAAACAGAGGCAAAGGGCTGCTCTTGGAGCTCACACAACAGCTCCAAGGTACTGACTTCAAGGGTGCACGAAAATGCTACCAAAGCTTGGCCCTTTCTTTACAAAGAAGGCTCCTTGAAGCTCAAAATGCCACAACAATGGCTCAACAACCTCAACCTCCCAAGTCAGCAACCAAAAGCACTCAAGACAACCCACCAACTCAGAAATGGAGCTCACAACACCCTCACCAAGGTATTTCCCACCCACCCAAGGTGTTTACAAGGAGAAAGTGTGAAGAAATCCAAGAAAAGAGGTGGCTTGAAGGTGTTTCATGCAAAGGTGACCAAGGAGAAGGGTGGCAGCAGCCAAGCTCTCAAAATGTCACGTAGGAGGCACCATTTCTGACCTAGAAATATGTGTCATGGCCTTATATAGGCCCACTTAAGCCATAAACACACAGTATTAGCTTTAATTGCTACGCTTAGCATTTTAATCCCAAACTCAGGATTCTTAACCTACTCAATTTTACAAGAATTAACATATTTTTCTTACAATTTTCGGAGCACTTTTCCGGTACGCGCTTTTCATAGCCAGTACCAGTTTCTGGCACCAGTTCTTATTATTTTGATTTGAAACTCGTTTTACAAGTCCTACATGTTATTCTAGTAATTATTATCACTTATTATAATTTTCTGGGATACTTTTTCGGTACGCATTTATACCGACTAGCAGAACCGGTATCTGCACTTTTCTTCCGAAAAGCGACTTTCAGCATTCTTAATCACTTACTATAATTATTAGAGCCTCATAATAATTATTAGGGTCAATTATGGAATTATTTCCTAATTTCACATAATTAATTTATTAAATTCCTTAATTAACGGTGCGGGTTCTTACAGTATGCGCTCAGAGATACCCTAAAGATAGGTATCTAGATTGGCTTATAGCCAACTCTCCAATCACTGCGCACAAGCAATAGGCTTATAGCCAAGATGTGGGTGTGTGCACAGTGTTGGCAGTAATAGTAAAGTAGGTCAAAAAGTGTGTACCTAGGGTCTTTAGTCTCTTATTTATAAGGATTACCTTCATAGGCTTGGCCTTTGAAATCTCACAGTTGATATAAAATCTGTCTTGATTGATGGGGATAAGGATATTATCCCCTGATCCTCTCTAGATTATATGGTTGCGATATCCCTATCCAATCTTGCTAGTAATAGGGTTGTTAGGATATGGATCCAGTCCATAATAGGTTTGATTTTATTAAGTGAATGAAAAAGATAAGCTATAGAGCATAAGCAATCAATAGCTCCCTTGTCAAGTATCTAGTGAGTAAGGTCATAGCTTTTTTTGCAAACAAAGTTTGCATGATGATTAGTGTTGTTGCTATTGACATTCGTTTCTGGCTATGATTGCTGCAGAAGGTCAAGAAAATTTTTACACTGTTGTTGAGATATGATCACCTTATCGCTATCCTCTTTTTCTTCACATTCATCAACAGGATCACGAGCGGCAACATAAGTTGAATTGGATTTGTTTTTCCTCTGGACCCTAGTGGATCATAGCATGTGTCCAAGGTGTGATTGGTTCTTCCACAATAAGTGCCTGTTTGGATCCTCTCTTTTTTAAGCTACAAGCTACTTATAAGCATAAGCTAGGCCAAACAGGTTTTGGGAAAAGCTCTTATAACGAAAAGCTCTTTTTTTTATAATGAAGAAAAAAGCTGAAAATTAAAAGCTCCTAGGAGGAGCTTTTTTTTAAGCTCTTATCTGTTTTTCTTGAATTGTGTGCTTTTTTTTAAAATAAAGAGTGATAAAGATAGAAAGAGATAATTTTCTTGAAATATGTGCTTTTAAGTAATTTTTAAGCTAAAACTTTTATGTAATTTCCAAACAGCTTTTAGCTTATTTTTTTAAGCTCTTTTTTTTAGCTTTAGCTTATAAGTAGCTTCTAGCTTAAAAATAAGAGGATCCAAACAGGCTCTAAGTCCAACTTGTGCTTTGTGCTCTCTACTTATCCATAACATATGCCTTTGCGTCCATTGTAGTGTAGGCTCAGCTTGGAACTCAAAAGTGTTGGAATTAATTATTTTTATAAATAAGAAGTTTGATTTGAAAAGGTGTTTTTTCGTCATTGAAAGAATATTTTTTTCGTGTTGAACGGACGAATAAATGCTTTTTGAATAGTGACATTATGTTTCCTATATATATTAATATTCATAAATGGATCGTAGCAAGATATATGGATGCTAGTTCTATTGGTAAAATGTGGGCCAAGAAATGTGCATACATTTCAGCGGAGTAGAAAATTTTCATTATGGCAATCTAGTTTATTTGTGATCTTTATGAAAAAGGAAATCATTCTCTCATTTTACATGAGAAAATTATCTCAGTTCTTCAAACATAAAAAATTGTGCCATCATTTTCTCTTTTTCATTTTTTTAAATGGATGATGGGCCCCACCATATCATGTGTCTATAGTAGGAGATAACTATCTTCAATAATATGAGAAAATAGAACCCCTTATGAAAATTGCCACAATCACAAACATGTTTTGTCTTTAATGAATTGTGTAAAAAGCGTGGTAAACTAAAATAACCATTTAGGTTTTCACAAAATGAGAATCGATAAAGACATTATGTGAAATACACAACCATGCAATTTTAACTCACTCTACAGTTTAAGCAAAATATTAACGGGCAAAGGATTTCTTCGGAATGAGTCCAAAACGATGTCGTTTTATGGTGGAAATCAATGTATTTCTGTAATTATATTTATAGCAGGGTTATATTAGTCTTTGTCACTATAATTTTTTAATCTTACAACCTCAAAACGAAGTTGTTCTGGGCTCACTGAATATAAAATTATCTCCAATGACCGGAGAAATACTTTTTTCAATATTAAAATATAATTATGGAAAATGCACAACCATGCAATATTAATCCACTCTACTATTTAAGAAAAATATTAAAATATAATTATTATGAAATAAGTGTGTCGATTGATATATTATTATGTTCCCTAAAAATTGATACCTTAGTTTAGAGAACCCGTTTAAAATACAAAACCTTTAAAATTTTGTCAATAAAAGTTTCATAATTTAAACTTAATATACATCCAAATCTATGCACGAGGTAACCTTGGACTTATTCCCATCATTGAGCTTAATATATAATATTTATTCACCTAAATTTTCATGGTGCGCAACTTATATTTCGCAATTAAAAGAAAACCCAAGACCAAAGTTACTCACATGCTCGCATCACATTTGATATGGTTAAACTCATTTCAAAACCCGCCTAATCACTTCACCAACAATCACCGTTTAGAATAATAACTAGTAAAAGGAATCTCCACAACACCAGACTCAGTCATAGGCACATCAAGGAAAAATTAAATCGAAAGAATTGCTTTTAATTCGGCTCTATTGTGAGTGAAATGGGGCTGCAATAAATCCTTTTTACAAGCAAAATGGGAAATATCATCATCGATACAAACTTCCCATGTAGATATCAAACCCCTTCAATAAATGGGGCTGCAAGCTTCCTATTCCACATTTTCAAAAACCATTTCCCAAGTTAAAACCAAATTTAATCAGAAAGAAGCAAAACCAAATCCAATATCCATGCTCTTGGCTCTACGCTTTTGCTATCCCATCAAATTTCATAAGGTGCCCAGCCAGCGCCAGACCATAGAAACAGCTATTAATACTCCACGCTCCAGAGCTGGAAAAAGCAGCCCCCTAAATCCAGCAACTGTTCCTCAGAACCACCGTTTATATATTTGTTCAATTTATGCAACAATCAGAGGGGGGGAAATCAATCGATTTCTCCTTCTTCTACATCATTTGATGGCCCTGCAGCACTCTGAGGCGGTTCTTCCTCCTCATCCTCATCATCAACCTTCATGTACAATCCTAGCTGTTCTAAGGGATTTCCCTGTAGCTTGAAACCCAATCCGTTTTGAGAATGTTCTGGGCTTGTCTCCTCCTTGAAACTTGGTATATGTTCATCACCTACAGCACTCAGCATCTCTAGATCTTCCAAAAATTGACTGCTCTCATCGATGTAAACAGTTTTCTCCATCTGCAAACAGAGCTAATCAGTGAAACTTAACAAGGAAGCAGAACTTGCATCCTGACATATTCTCTTCTTTCGAAATTACCTTTTGCAAAGCCTGACGTGCTGCTTCTCTCTCCAGTTCCCTCTTCCTTTTGGATTCAGCAGCAGCTTTGGCTTTGGCTTTCCTACGAGCCTCTTGCGCTGCCTTTGCCTCTGCCTGCAATCTAGCTTTCTCTGATGCATCAAAAACAAAATTATAAATATCAGTTGAATCTGGAAATACCGAAGCAGTATTTTATGACAGAAAGACTTTTGCCCCATAGAACAAATATCACAAGGTGCAAAAATAAAAAACACACCCTCCTTCTTCCGTCTTTCAAGATCTTCTCGCTCTATCCTAAGTTTTTCAGGGTCCCGTTTTTCAACCTGAAATCAAGAATGAATTAACACACCAGAATTCAAATAAAACAGGCAATAATGTTGGCACACTTAGGCGAAAGGTGGTAATGATGGTAAATTGGTAATTATCATGAATGGATCCTCTCATTTTCAAAATTGTGTTATCTCTCTCTTCATTGAGATTAAATAGATGGATTCCTATAAAAAATTATAAATATTTACAGAGATAGACAAAAAAAAAAAAATCACATGACAAGTTCTTTAAAATTGGGACATGATACAATCCATTCCCGAAATTACCAGACTTCATACCTTGGCAGTGACAGAACTGCCCTACTGGTGAGAGGAAGAGACAAAAACTAAACGCTTTAATTTCTGATGTTTTACAAATTCCCTTGTTTCACCCAATAGACCTGTTTTATTTATGCAGGGAATTAAAACAACTACCACATTACCACATTAACAAACCTTTTCAAGGGCTTTCTCTCGAGCTTTAAGTATGGTGTCAGCAAACCGATTCCTTAGTACAGCTGCACGGTAGAGCTTTTGAGGAGAGACTTCCCTCTTAGATGCAGCACTCTCCCCTAAAATGTTACAGCATGAATGGTGAGACATTGCCCCAAAACTAACAGCAGCAGACAGATTTCTTCATGTTTCAAGCTTACCCTCTTGACAGCTTTCTGCCTCAATAGTAACTGGCTTAGTCTGGGAAATTTGCTCAACTTGGTTACCCACATTCATTGAATCTATACAGGAAAGAGATGATGAGCTAGAAGGCAACAAGGGCTGAGGCATCCTCTTCAAAAGTAATGCCAAGAAACCATAATATAAGCACATGGTTACAAAAAAAAACCATCAACTTTGGTACTAACTCTTTCTGGTTTCTGAATTACCAGGATCCCCTCTGTTTAGATCAGAAGTCAAGCCAGATCCTACCTTTTCCTGCAATACATAATTTTATAACAAAGATATTGGTCAAAGCAGAAGAAAATTGAATTCTATCAATATCATAATATTTAACACCATATGTATCCCTATTACCTTGGTAGCACTAAGAGGTTCTGATGCTTTAGCAGTATCTAGCCCAATACCAGATGAATTACCTGAGTCTGAATCTGTCAGTGCCACAATTGCAAGAATCAGACAAGAATAACAGAGTTCAGGGAAAATTCATTTTCAAGTGATTAATTTTGCATCATAAACCAAACAAACAGTTGCCAGTATATACTGAATTTATAGGAGCATCAGTGAAGAAACTATATCCACCTTCCTACTTCATAACTCTATTCATAAGTGACTAACAATCCCCAACCACTTTTGTAGAGAAGTAACACTAGTATAATACAGAAAAGTAAAAATAACATGACAAACAATTTCTTTTATTCAATACATTATAGTACATAAGATGAACCAAAAAACCAACAAGTTTTTAAGAAAATAAGAAAAATAAAATACGCAGTGATCTAGATGTCATGTCTAAAGGAAAATGAAATCTAAGTTGAAGACTAGGTTAGCTGTAACAGATTTCAACCCCACGAGAACAAATGAAATATTTAGAAAAGACCAAAATATCAAAATAGTTTCTGGTAGCAACCACTCGTGCACATGGCAGGCGGGAGAAGGAGTTTATATTTCAAAATAGAAATGCAAAATATATTTTATAACGTAAATTAAAGCACTTTACCAATAAACACAAACAAAATAGCTACATTCCTCTCATCAGAATCCGTTAGCAGGACATCAGAGTGCTAATTAGGGGGAAGAGCAAGGGAGCAACAGATAGATAAAAAGGGAGAATAAAAATGACACTCGAATATATTGTGGAAGAAGCTGCTAGATATTCTATATGCTATAATTATAGAATGAATTATACATTATAGTACATAAGATGAACCAAAAAACCAACAAGTTTTTAAGAAAATAAGAAAAATAAAATACGCAGTGATCTAGATGTCATGTCTAAAGGAAAATGAAATCTAAGTTGAAGACTAGGTTAGCTGTAACAGATTTCAACCCCACGAGAACAAATGAAATATTTAGAAAAGACCAAAATATCAAAATAGTTTCTGGTAGCAACCACTCGTGCACATGGCAGGCGGGAGAAGGAGTTTATATTTCAAAATAGAAATGCAAAATATATTTTATAACGTAAATTAAAGCACTTTACCAATAAACACAAACAAAATAGCTACATTCCTCTCATCAGAATCCGTTAGCAGGACATCAGAGTGCTAATTAGGGGGAAGAGCAAGGGAGCAACAGATAGATAAAAAGGGAGAATAAAAATGACACTCGAATATATTGTGGAAGAAGCTGCTAGATATTCTATATGCTATAATTATAGAATGAATTATACCCAAAACATGATGGAGGGCAGGAGAAAACAAATAGCTGAAATAGTTTAAGGACTTAAAACATTTACAGAAATTTGGAATACGAAATAAGAATGAAAAGCAAACACTGGGTATACATGCAGCAATCAAAAGACTAAAAGCATGACTTGAAACGGGAAACATGTCAAAGGTAAACAGTAAAACGAACCACTGGATGAAGTGCCAGATTCACTACTGGAGCAGCTTGAACTACTGCATTTACTGTTTCTATTGGTGCCATCTATCTCAATCTCTACTGGAGGGTAATTTGAAATAGGAGGATCATTCCCACCAACAATGTCCACATCCTCCTCAACTTGTTCATTGCCTGCATTTGTGGTGAAAATTAAAGATATCAATAAGTGTCAATTATCACGGACATTTGTACCATAAGGATACAAACAAAAAACTTACAAAACAAGAAATATAATATACCATTGCATGGTTGCATTGACGAATTACTAAACCTCGATGTATTCAGAAGCTGCATAAAAATCAAGCAATAACAACATTGTCAGTCAGTATTATATATACACACACATAAAGTGGGGATCTACTTACCCTTTGTAAAACTCTAACACACTCCATGGAATAAATCTTTAAAAATGTTAAATTTCATCAATTCAACTGTTAGATTGAAAGTTATCATGAGGCGGATCAAGCTCATAGAATATTTATTATAGGGGTTTAGCTTTAGCATAAGACTAAACATCAACTATTCAATTAGAAAATTATGAATGTCTAGTTTATCTTAAATTTGATATGCAAGATCAGCACAATAACATCACATGGTTTGACAATTGAATTAGTCAAATACACACACCCCCACCTCCACACCCACCCACCCACACACACACACACACACACACACACATATATATATATAGAGAGAGAGAGAGGGAGACAGAGACAGAGACCTCCATTTCACACTGTCCAGCTTTTGCCTGGAATTTTTGCTTCTGCAGCATATACTCATCAAGAAGCTTCCGCAGTTTGAATAAGGTATCATCACTAAGAGCATCAATATCAATCTCAATTTCATCATCATTGGTTTGCCCTGCATCATAACTATGCTCTTTCAAGAAATCAACAATAGTTTCAGGCAACTCCCCAAGCATTGCCTCCAACTCAAGACTCAATTTATGCTTCTCCTCGTCAGTGATAATTCTTTTAACAGGCTCTGGCTTGACAATAGTATCATTTGATGATATTTTCTTCTTTTTTGCAGGAGGAATTCGATCAGAAATTTCAGTTTCTACACAAGCAACAGGTCTTGAAGGCTCAGATGGGCCACCATCAACAGCAGGAATTTTCTTCTCTATAGCCTTCCATCTCTTTTCAAAAACTTTACTAAGGGCCTCTGCCATTATATATACATCATCGGAAGATGGATTATAAGTCATTGCATTCGAGAAAGTCAGCCGTACATCAGCAGCAAAATCCATAGGATTTGAATATTCACCAGAAGTTATTCTACTCTTTACGGTACCCAAATCCATTGGATGTTTGATGACAGTGAAATAATCCGGAATGTTCAATTTAACAACATCAACTGGTGTCTTAAAAACCCAACCAAATTTATGTGACATCAAATGGTTAAGTAATGTCTCACATGGTTTCATCAATGTAGCATATGAAGTCACTGGTGCAGCAGGTTTCACATATTCAAAACGCCCAGACATACTTCCCTTTGTCTTGGGACCATTACGTCCTGGTAAGGGCCTTTTCTTACCACGTGGGGCTGATGTTTCCAGTTTTGTATGCCGGCTCTCCAGACGAGGCCTCTTCTGTACAGCACTGCAGCTCCTTATGTCACTAGAGGGAGATAATCCAACAATATGTGAGTTCATACTGTCAACTTTCTTCTGAATTTCCCTTACTTGTTCAAGTTCCCAAATTAACCTCCGTTTCAAACCCTTTCTCTCAACACCTGACATCTTTGATAATGAGAAGTGTTTAAAAGGTACATCAAAACTACCATAAACATCACCATTCAAACTAAGGCATTTCTTCTTTGGTGCACGAGATTCTGGGAATGCCATCATCTCTGTATCAATCCTTCCTGAGCTACTCAACCCTTCTGATTCACCCATAGTCTCTACGGCATGACGGAAATCAGGAACAAAGCCAGTAGCACGACCCTTGGAGTATTTCCGAGATTTCCCCATGATCTGTGAATGAGAGTATTTTCTGGATTCCTTTTGTCCAGCAAACTCTATAGGTACAGTTGGTGCCATAAGATAAAATGCCAATAATTGCACATATCAACTCTGATAACAAGTTCTGCTCCCACACAGCAAACTCTGAAAAAAAGCCGAATTTCCAGAAGAACAAATTAAGTCTTATCCTCCAAATTTTAATGCAAAATATTATAAAACCCAGTGAAGGGTATACTTCTTTCATACACTATAGACTTATTTCAGTTTTATCGTTGACAATTAGCTTATAATCCAAAAATGTTAAAACTTTATTGCGATTAACAACAGTCTTCTCCGCTTTTCCGGTGCTAATAATTATTAATTAATGCCCACGAAAATCTCTAACAAGTTTAACTAATCAAATGCAAGAAATGCAAGACTCCTCGGAATCCTCATTCTCAGCACGAAAATTGCACACCCAAGTAGGGCAAGAGCACCGTCATTATTTCAAATCGACTACAAGAATAAAAAAATTAATCTAAGCATAAGAAAATGCCGTAACCCTAACATTTTCAAATAGAAGGGAAATTAAGATAGAGATTAATCGAACCATAAACCCTAGATCGAGAGAAAATGGCCGATCGAAGCAAAAGAAAATGTGAGAAACCCTAAGCAAGAATCCAATTCAAAACCTGAATGTCTAGCAGTGCCACGCAAACGTAATGTGCCTCAAAACCCTAATACCAACACCACCCTTCCTCGCTTACTTCAACTCAGAGAAAGAAAGAAAGATCGAGCACGAAACAAATCTACAGAGCCTCAGATCGCACTTGTACTTATAGCCATTTTCACAGGCCCATATCCAACGGCCCATCCTTAACGCGTCGATCTTAATCGCACGGTCAGTGTTGCTTTCCCGCTTGCTCTTTGTGGACCCTAAATCATTAACCCACCAAGTAATCACCTCACCTACATATTTCTCATGGGAATAAACATATATAATTACGGGAAAAAATGTGTATTATTTTAATAAAAAAAATTTATGCAGTTACTGCATATAAGTTATTTGTATTTATTTTTAAAATAATATTATTTTGAAATTGAAATATTAAAAAATTATAATTATAAAGACTATAATAACTTTGAAATAAATTAAAACTAGTTGATTACCCGTGCGATGCACACACAAAAATCGATTTGTTTGTCCCGTAAACGAATTAATAAAAAAATCGATTTGTTCGTATGACATAAACGTGTAACTTTTAATGTAGGAACACAAAAAAGAATATAATAATTTAAACACAGTAAATTCCATGATTGACAGCAAAATCTCCATTAAAATTTCAGATCAGACAACCAATTCAAACATAAAAAGCAATTAAAACACTTGATTATCCAATTAAAATTTCGAATTTCAAAATCATATTTATTAATTAATTATTCTTTTATATCTGTCACCACAAACGGTCATTTAATTATTCAATTTAAAAATTAAAATTCGATTTTTAAAAGAAAATCTTTTCCCACCAATCATATTTAAATTCAAGATTTTAAACCATTTCAAATTTCAGATCAGACGATCATTTCCAACATAAAAAGCAATTAAAACACCTGATTATCTAATTTATTTTGTCTGTCAGCTCTCTTGATTCTTGATTGTTATGATATTTGAATCAAATATATAACAAAGATAATGTCTTTGTTATATCATTATTGTGTATATATTATTTAAAAAATAACCATAACGAAATTGTGAATTGAATGACAATCACGTCTTCAACAATTGCGAAATTTGTTTTTGTTTCTACTGATCTCCATGAATAGAGATCGTGAATGCATGTCCGTGAAAAGAGTTTTCTTTTTATTGAATTTAAAATTTCGAATTTCAGATTGTGCAAAATAAATACATAATTTCGAAATTTAATTGATAAACCATTTAAAAATTCAACTTTTAAAAGAATATTGGTATGATAGTTTATCTGATAGAGTTTTCTTTTTATTGAATTTAAAATTTCGAATTTCAGATTGTGCAAAATAAATACATAATTTCAAAATTTAATTGATAAACCATTTAAAATTTTGAAAATTCAATTTTTAAAAGAATATTGGTATGATAGTTTATCTGATATGATAGTTTTGGTTTTGGGATTTAATTTATTTTGTCTATCAGCTCTCTTGATTCTTGATTGTTATGATATTTGAATCAAATATATATCAAAGATAATGTCTATATAACAAAGATAATTTATGATATATTTTTAAAAAAATAACCATAACGAAATTGTGAATTGAATGACGATCAGGTCTTCAACAATTGTGAAATTTGTTTTTGTTTCTATTGATCTCCATGAATAGAGATCGTGAATGCATGTCCGTGAAAAAAGTTTTCTTTTTATTGAATTTAAAATTTTGAATTTCAGATTGTGCAAAATAAATACATAATTTCGAAATTTAATTGATAAACCATTTAAAATTTCGAATTTCAGATGAGATGACCAATTGCAACATAAAAAGCAATTAAAACAGCTGATTTTTCTGTGGATACCAATGTGATGGGCAGTGGGACATTCAATGCCTTGTCTGCAACTATTATTCGATTTAAAAATTAAAATTCAATTTTTAAAAGAGTTTTTTTTTTCAATTTACCCAATAAAGAAAGTTTGTATATAACCAAATTGTAGAATTAACCAAGGAGTGACACTTGGCAAAACTTTCCTGCAGTAAGCTCTCCTTTATATATATATATATATATATATATATATATATATATATATATATATATAGATTACAAAAATGGGTTTTTGACCCTTTTGCCCCTAATTAAATAATTAATAACCAATTTGCCCCTCCCCCAGAACTATCCACCATCCTGCCCCCATTTAGTCGATTATGTTGCACTTTTAATCGACTAAATGGGCTAAACTCAGAAATTATGAAACGCGAATTTTAATCGACTAAAAACTCATCTTAATCGACTAAATTGTTTGCACTTTTAGTCGACTAAGCACATTATTTAGTCGACTAAATGTCGCAGATCAGGTTTTTTAAAAACCCCCCCATTTCGCAAAGGGGGTTATTTTCAAACCCTAATCGACTAAAAGGCTGCATTTCGTCCCCTCTCTCCAACCAAGTCCGAATCTCAACCCTTGAAGGTGCGATTGAAGCTTCCTTGGTTCACACTTGCGAAATCGACATTTAGGTAACGTATTCTGACTTGCATTTGGTTTTAAGTTTAGTTTTTATTTTGGTTTTCTTCATGCATTTGATTTATGTTTGCGGTTTTGTGGATTTAGGTTAGGGGTAGGGTGCTAAGTGTGTTGTGAGGGTGAGGGTTAGGGTTGATGTGGTGCCTTAGGCGTAGGGTTAGGGTTATGTTAGGGTTAGGGTTAGGGTTAGGGTTAGGGTTAGGGTTTACGTTGTTGTTTTGGTTAGGTTGTAGTGTTTAGGGTTAGGAATGGGTTTTTGTGTTTTGTTTTAGGGTGTAGGGTCAGGGTTAGGGTTAGGGTTAGGGTTAGGGTTTCTGTTTCTGTTTTAGGGTTAGGGATTGGGTTTCTGATTTCTGTTTTATTTTAGGATTAGGTTTTGTTTTTTATATTGAATTTTAAATTTTTTGATATTGTTATTGTTCATTGATTTTTGTTTCCACTTGCATTGTAGGTACAGTTGTTCTCATGGCTGGCCGTAGAAGATCGTCTAGCACTGGAAATGAGAGACGACAAAAGCTACGACAAGACCATCCGTCTTCGTCAAGGCCACAAGAGGAAGACCCCGCTGTTGTGGACCTCCCATTCGGATACTTGTTCGAGAATGACCCGGTGGTTCATGAATCTTTTGTCCGTGACTTTGTTAACCGACCGATTTGTGGGACCAAATCACTTGATACAACCTTTTTTGAACAAGAAGGTTTTAACATTGTGAGGTGGTTGGAGGAATCACATCTTAGGACCTTGGCTGAACTGTCGTGTTCATATTCTGAGCTGCATGTACGGGCCTTCTACCATAATCTCAGCTACCATCACGGTGAGCTGAGGTCTAGGGTCTGCGGGGTGGACATCATCATGACGGCTCCGGTATGGTTGGAGTTACTGGGGTATGACTTTGATTCTGCGCAGACTGTGGAATATGACGCAGACAGCGGGACCATACTTCCAGGATATACACACGGTGATGCCGTGCAGGAGCAGAGGAGAGTCCGTGGGCAACACATTGCCCATACGGTGGGGTTGCTTACTGTGGAGTCCCGCATACTACACTATGTCATCACCCACATTTTGTTTCCGCGAGCGCTCAATCATTCCAGGGTGTTGGAGCATGACATTCCCATCATGTGGGCTATCCGACATGGTACTTCGGTGAACTGGAGGCACTACGTGTGTTGGATGATGTATAAGGCCAAACACAAGGGTGCACTTCCATTTGCTTGTCTTGTTGAGAGGATATTGGAGCATTTTGATGTTTCCATGGGTAATGTGACCTTGAAGAAGACCACAGGGTATAATCATAAGTTTGGAAAACGTCTACTGGAGCCGTGCAAGATGACAAAGAACCCTCAAACAGGAGTGTGGCAGTTCACAGGTGCGGCTGATGTTGAGGTTCCTGATGTTGCTCCAGTTGTAGACATGGTTGACCCCGAGGTGGAGGATGATGATGACGATGATGATGAGGGTGACCAGCAGGAGATAGCTGAGCCTGAGGGTGAGTTTTCATTACGTGATGTCATGAAGGGCATAAACGCCACGCTGAAGAAAATAGGAAAAATGGCGCTGAAACACAAAAAATGGAGGAAGAGTCACATGCAGAAGGGAAATGAAAGATTTAGACATATACAGGGACGGTTCAAGGGTGTTGAAGATAGGCTTGCTCGTCTAGAGCTTGGACGAGGACAGCATATTGAGGATGTTGCAGGGCAGGGGGCTGATGTGTCAGATGAGGATGACGAGGAGACGACATCCGAGGAGGATGAGGATTAGATTTAGGGTTTATGTTTCTATTTTACGTTTCTAGTGTATGTTGTAATGTAATTGACTTCGGTCTTCCTATTTTACATTTGTAGCTTATGTAATATTATGGTTATGAAATGAACTATTTGATGTTCCCATCATGTTGTGAACCGTTTACGTAATTATTGTTGTTTTCTTGTTTACCTATTAAATGACAAATATCTTTTACCTTCATGTTTTCAATTTGTGTCTAATCACAGTCCAACGGGTCTAAACTGTCCAATGAAATTCAGAACAGGTGACCTTAACAGAGTTAAAATAAGAACACAAGTTTTGGATACCCTTAATTATTGCATTTTTGCAGTACATGCACATTCGTGGTTTATAACCTGTACAATACTATTTTGTACCTGAAAGTGTGTTCCCCAAGTCATTATATGCGTGTACATTGATATTCGATCGGTTCCGTGCCAAAAAAAATCGTGCAAAACAGAATGGGGTGTCAAAACTAGTTATTTAGTCGAGCAACCCGTACTGGTTTAGTCGACTAAACCGTGTAGCCCCAATTTTTGGTTAATCCTCCCCTTCAACTCATTGTACGTAGTGCCCCGTTTGATTTTCAACATTTTCGTTTTTCCTTCAAATTGAACACCGTTGGGGCCTTCATAATGCTTTCCATCATAGTAAATCATGGTAACATACATGTTTGGACTTGAGCTCATCTTTCACACGAATTTTGGGGGTAGAAATCGGATTTTAGGGTTTTGGGTTCGGATTTGGGGGAAAAAATTGAGAAATAAAGGAAAATGACAATGATTTCACAATTACTATGCCTTAGAGGTGGTGTGATGAAAT